GGATACAAAAGGGGGCATAAACCGGTTCAAGAAACATCTTGCCGGTATCGGGGGGATGTTGCCCCATGTAAAATGATTCCTGATGCTGTTAAAGAGGAAATAAAGAAATTATTGAACATAGTGAAAATGAAAAAAGATGAGAGAATTGCCTCTATAACAGAGATTAGGTCTGAGGCTCGGGTCAATTTTGATGATGATGATAGTGATGAGGAAAGGATTGAGGAGGGATGTCAAGAGGTTGAGCAATTCATTATTAGGGGACAGGGGAAGGGGGTTGTAATTGCTTCCGGTTCTGAGACTAAGAAGCCTCGGGTTAGAGGCCCTATGGATAGTTTTTTACCTCGGCCTGACCCTGAGGTTGCAAGAGAGAAAACAAAAAAGCAAACCACCATTGAAAATAAAATCAAGAAGAAGAGAGAGATAGAGCTGCGTATTATCTTGCTACATGATTTTATGAGGCGGGCATTCTTGTCAATACCGCTTGCTTAAGCAGCTTCTATGCTGCGATAGAGGCAGTTGGCCAATTTGGCCCTGGGATGAAAGCCTCAACCCCATATGAGCTTTCAAAGCCTTTTTTAAAAAAGGCAGTGAGTGCCACAAAGGAAGCTGTAGAACTTAAGAAGGATGCATGCGCTCAGTATGGGGTTTCTATTATGATTGATGGTTGGAGTGATAGGAAGAGAAGAAGTCAGACGAATTTGCTTTGTGAATTGTCCTGCAGGGATTTTTTCTTTGAGGTCAATTGATGCCTTTGATCATATCCATGATGCCCATTACATATTTCAAGTGATAGAGAAGGGAATCAAGGAAGTTGGGGAGCATCTTGTTGTACAGGTTGTCACAAACAATGCTGCTCCTAATGTTGCTACATCTAATTTGTTTGTACATAGCTTATCCTAGAATCTTTTGGACACCATGTGCAACACATTGTATAGACCTCATGCTTGTGGCTCTTGGCGGTTTAATTGAGATATCAGGTGCAATGAAGAAGGCCAATATCCTTATTTGGATTCAACTGGGCCGCTCAGGTTCTGGGCGCTCGTTTAGGCGCTGGGCGACTTGGACCCCCCTGGCCGCCCAGGACCCGCCTAATGCTTTTTGAAACTGTGTGTGCGGCTTATAAGTTATGCCCAATTAAAAATGATATACAAGAAAATGTAAGAAGCGTAAACAATGGTCTGAAGCAAAAAATGGGACCATGACCCAGAGAATGGCAAGCAACAAGTCGCAGCTTTTATGAATCTACAGCTTGGAGCCTCGCACCCTCCTTTGCCAGTTGGTCTTCCATGGCGTTTGACGTCCTCCAGATATCCTTTCATGAGACAATTATGTCCTTGCAAATATGCATAATCTCATAAAAAATCGGGGCCCGGTACCAGACGAGGGGCAATTCCAGCTGCTCAAGAGATTATGTTTTTGGCATCGCCCTCAACAATTAGTGGTAATCCCTACAAAGGATTGAATAATTTGAGGCTCAGGAGGAGAGTCGTAGACTCCGCGAACTAAGAGTCTGCATGGCCAATATTCTTGGAAAAGGAAGTTGGAATGTTGCCGTGGTGATCTCTGAAGACCCCACCCGCTCCTGCTGGTCTTGGGTTACTGAGGGAGCATTTATCGAAATTAAGTTTGATGAGGCCTGCCGGGGGACGCAACTAGTTGTTGGCTCGTGGAACCCGGGGGGAGTGGAAGTGGAGGAGTTCTTCCCAATTATGTAGGAAAGATGCTGCCAAAATGCTGGTGAAGGTCTTCTGGTTGGATACCCAAAAGATGACCTGAGAGGTGATCTTATGGAAGAGGGCCGAAGCTTCGCACTTGACACCTCGGAAAATCCTTGAGTTTCTTTCCGTCCAAATGACGCAAATTGTTGCCGCTATGTTCCCATAGTGTTCGTTATTTAACAATTTTTTAAAACAAATTCTCCACCTTTCGTTGACCTCGACATCTTTCACCAAGATCCTTTGAAGACGTCTTTTTCACTTCTCTTGTCCCTTGTTTATTTTATAAGTTTATCATATGTTTTAAGTTTATCCTTACAATTTCTTAACTTTTTTATGAGCATTTATATATATATATTTTTAAAGTTTTGATCAATTCTATTACATTTCCAAGCTTTATGATTACTTTTAGCTAGTAGTCTTTTGAACCTCCGCACTCCACCACCAGGTTGGTTTGTTAAAAATTTTTTTCCCTCTAGTTTCTCTTAAAACTTCTTTTGCCACTCTCTTAATATAGTCGACCATCTCATTCCACATAACATTAACTTTGTACTCAAAATTTTATTTTCCTTCTTTTACCAATTTATCTTTAAGTAAGTCTATGTTCTCCTTTTTAAATTCCACCACCTAGTTCTTGCACACCTATTAGTTTCACACTTTCTCTTCTGTCTCTTTAAGCATACATCATAATAATGAGCCTATGTTATGTGGTCAAACTCTCTCTTGGGTTTTTACGTGATGGTCGATCTACCTTCTTGACTAAAAAAAAGTCTATTTAGCTTTTGTATGATCTACTTTTATAAGTTATGAAATGTTCAGTTCATTTTTAAAGTAGGTGTTTGCTATTGCTAGGTCAAAGGCCATAGAAAGGTCCAAGATTGCCTCACCTATTGCAATTTTTTCTCCAAGACCATATTCCCCATATGCCTCTTCATATCCTCTACTATCGTTTTTTAAATAATCATTGAGTCCCCTCCTTAAAAGGTCCTCTCTCCATTTGGTATTTCTTTGACTAGTCCATGCATGTCCTCCCAGAATTGCCTCTTAATTCTATCCTCTAGTCCTACCTGCGGTGCATAACCACCAATTACATTAATTATCTCCTCCCCTAGTACGAGTTTAATTAATAGGAGCCTGTCACCTCATCTCTTGGCATTAATGAATTTTATCTTTTAAATCTTTATCTATTATTATGCCTACGCCATTTCTATTATTATCTTTTCCTATATATCAAAGTTTATATCCATCAATTTTCTTATAGCTTTTTCCCCTCTCCAGTTAGTTTCCTTTAGAAAGCTATGTTAATTCTTCTATGTATCATTGCCACTAACTCTATAATCTTACCTGTTAGCGTTCCTATATTCCATTTGGCCAGACAAATCCTATTCTCTTGGACTAGCTTCTTTACGCGCTCTTGTCCATAATGACATGGGAACCCTTGCTTACTTATCACCTTAATCGGTCGTAGTTGCGACGCATTGCTTTGGGGGAACACCCTAATTAACCCTTGCTCATTTCTCATTGCACCAGAGTACTAGTGCAGCACGTCGCTTTGTGGGAATGCCCTAGCTAGCCATCGCTCATTTCTCGCTGCGCCCAGGTGGTGCAGCGAGTTGTTTAAGAGGATGCCTTAGCATGAGCATATAACATAAGTTCAAGATTAATGATAAGATGTGGCAAAGTTTTACACTGATTGCCTACCTAACGCAACACACCGCTTTACCCGGGCTTAGGACAAGTCAAAGTATAAACTCTAAAATCTAAAAATACTTTATTGGAAAAAAAGAGATAATATTATCCTATAATTGACTAGATACCAAAAACACTTTGGGCTCCAGGATAAGTTGTTGTCAATGTTAAAAAATGTGGAGGCGGCTGCCTAGGCGGTTTGGTTTTTGGGCCACTTAGGCACCTAGGCGGCCGCCTAGAGACAAAGGTGGCCTGCATCTTGGGGAAGTGCAGATCCTTGCAGATTTTTGGCCCCCCACACCTCTCCCCCTTTCATTGTATATAGAAATGACACTTTTTTATTTAATAAATAAGTTTCGCATATAATATATTGTTTAGAATGCAGAAGTTAGAAGTACATATGGTACATAAAGATTTGCGGCTTTAAACTGTAAATTAAATAGTTAAAACTCAAAAGTAACATTAAAAAAACTAAAAAAAAGGTGAAAAAACAATATTCATTTGATTTGGGGCCAATGGACTTTTTTATTGAATCGCTTTCCCAAAGATCCAAACTACATCTCAAAATGGGAAAATAATAATGCAACTAGTGAATGACATATCATTAAGTATTACAAAAAAAATAATATAAATAGCAAAGAATAACATCATAAGACATTGTGAAAAATTCAAATACATAACCTAATAAACACTATTGAAATATACCAACCTTGTTGAAGTTCAATCGATATTGGGCCAAAACCAAATGTTTTGGTTCCCAATTCTCCTCTTTTACAACCACTAAAAGCCTCAGAAGGATTGGGGATGAATATCCTTTTAATTTCGTTGACAATTCGAGGAAGTCAAAAAAAATTTCGGTCTCTCTAAAAATCTTCAAAATCTTTTTTTTTTTCAATTTTTTTCACTCTAAAATTCACTAACAATGTTTTTGGGAGCAAGAATGGTCACCAAAACCCTTTTCTCCCCTTTTTTAGGGGGTAACATGACGATTTTATCCATTGTCCAATATTTTCTTTCCGCCATTGGGCGAGGCGGCGCCTTGAAAGACCCGCCTTAAGCACGCCGACTAGTCCATGACTAGGTATTTTTGAAAAAAAGCTGCCTAGGTGGCAAGGCAGCCATTTTTTCGTTCATTGGTTCATGTTTATCAAATTGTATTAGATTATCCCTTTTACAATGTTAATTTGTTTGTTTTTTGATATCTTGTTATATCTCTTATAAATTGTATATCTTCATGTTATATGTCTTATAAATTGTATGCCTTCATTGCTTTTTGAAATGGATGACTTTAACACTGAATAATTTTTAACCACCTTATTTGAATTTGCTTCTTGTCTCTACATTTGTGCATGACTAGTTCATAACTGTGTAATATTGATATGTGGGAATCATGGATTACCATAGAACTTGGTTTAGTGATTAAATTTCGTATCAAGTTTCCATTTCATTTTCTGCTACTCTTTCATTTGAAGATAGAGATTGGCAATTAGTTCGTCGAAGTTGGAACTGCTATCTTGTGATATTACTAGCTAGAAAATTCTCCCAGTTTTCTGTAGAGCGAATACAGTAATGTTTCTTTGGAATATTTATTTGCAGCTGTAATTGGGAAGAGAGGAATACATTGCTTGAATACCCTGAAAATTATGAAAAAGTTATTCAGGGAGATGGTAACCGCATTTGGAACCCTTCTGATTGTCATGTCCTTGGATGCAAAGTCCACTGTAGTAGATCAGGTTCCAAAAAGAAAAACCCATTTGAACTTCATGAGATCTTCAAGAACTTACCTGGTCTGGGGATGGAGAAGAGGTCATATTATGCTAGAATCAGATCTGAAACTGCTCCTTTGGGTTCTGGTATATGGGATTTATCTGACGACCTCTTGACTGGTGTTTTAAGTGCTCTTAACCCAAAGGACCTCATTAAGGTTTCTGCTACATGTCGCCATCTAAGGTCCTTGGCAGTGTCAATCATGCCCTGTATGAAGCTTAGGCTTTTTCCCCATCAGCAAGAAGCAGTTAAGTGGATGTTGCAGAGAGAACGCCATGCTGAGGTTCTTCCACATCCTCTTTATATGGATTTTTCCACCGAGGATGGGTTCCATTTTTATATCAATTCAGTTTCTGGTGAGATATCTACTGGGGCTGTTCCCACTATCACAGATTTTCGGGGGGGACTGTTTTGTGATGAGCCTGGATTGGGGAAAACCATAACTGCACTCTCCCTTATCCTCAAAACCCATGGAACATTGGCTGGACCACCAAGTGGTGTGGAGGTTAAATGGTGTTCTCATAATCCCGATGAGCAATGTGGGTATTATGAACTCAGTGCAAAGAGTAACTCTACTCCATCTAAAATCACTTCGTCTTGGAAAAGGCTCTTGGGACAGAATGGGCGGAGGGGGCAAATAAGTTCTGATATGTTTTCTCCAGAAAATAAATTTGAAGAAACACCAATTAGCTCAAATTCTTCAAAATGGGCATTAGTGTTACCAACTACCCATTCTACATCATCTAGGGATTCCTTGTCCAAAGTTAGACTTTCTTTGCAGAAAACCCATTTTGTTCGGTGCACCAGAAGCTTGACCAGAGTGAAGAGAAACCTTCTGGAGACTTATGGGCAGGAATCTGGCTTAAGTCATGAAGAAGATAAGCTGGAGAAAGAGGTTCATGAAAAGCGAAGCATATTGAGTGGTCCTAAAGCTGAAACTTGGTTAAAAGAGGGTAGTTTTTCTTTTTCACCAACATCAGATAATCGGAAGAAGCCTAAGAATATTCATGGTGGGGGTTCTGAATTAAACGAGACTTGGGTTCAGTGTGATGCTTGTAGCAAGTGGCGGAAGCTCTCTAAGGACAAAAGCATACCTGATTCTAAGGTTGCCTGGTTTTGCAGTATGAACAGTGACCCATTTCACCAAAATTGCACTGACCCGGAGGAGTCTTGGGACTACAGCAAGTCCATAACATACTTACCTGGATTCCATAACAAAGAAGCACCTTCTGGAGAGGAGCAAAATGTATCATTTTTCATGGGTGTACTTAAGGAGCATTGTTCATTAATAAACAACGAAACAAAAAAGGCTTTAACCTGGCTAGCTAATCTTTCCTCTGATAAACTTTTACAGATGGAAACAACAGGAATTGCACCTCCACCATCTTTAAATATGGTTGCTGTCTCAGGAAAAGATGTCCATAATTACCGTGAAATTTTTCAAGCATTTGGCCTTACAAAAAGGGTTGAAAAGGGTGTTATTAGGTGGTTTTATCCTCGCAACCTCCATAATTTGGCATTTGATTTGGATGCTCTGAAAATTGCCTTAACCAAACCACTGGATATATTCAGGCTGTATTTGTCAAGAGCAACTTTAATTGTTGTCCCAGCAAATTTAGTGGAACACTGGAAAAACCAAATTTTTAGGCATGTTAGTCCTGGGCAATTGCGTGTTTATGTATGGACTGATAACAAGAAACCTCAAGCCCACAATCTTGCGTGGGACTATGACATTGTCATTACAACCTTTCACCGTTTAAGCATAGAATGGGGCCGGCGAAAGAGGAGTGCTTTAATGGAAGTGCATTGGCTTAGGGTTGTGTTGGATGAGGGGCACACACTTGGGGCTGGTCTAAACTTGACAAATAAATTACAAATGGCCATCTCTTTGGCTGCTTCAGCTCGGTGGTTATTAACTGGAACACCCATCCCGAACACACCCAGTAGCCAAGTTGCTCATCTTCAACCCATGTTGAAATTCCTCCATGAAGAGGCTTATGGGGATAACCAGAAGTCATGGGAATGTGGTATTCTCAGGCCATTTGAAGCAGAAATGGAGGAGGGGAGGATGAGGCTTTTGGAGCTTCTTAGGAGGTGCATGATTAGTGCCAGGAAAGCAGATTTACTAACAATCCCTCCTTGTATCAAGAAGATAACTTTCCTCCATTTCACTGAAGAGCATGCTAAGAGTTACAACGAACTGGTGGTTACAGTTCGTAGAAATATTCTAATGGCGGATTGGAATGATCCTTCTCATGTTGAGTCTCTCCTAAATCCCAAGCAATGGAAGTTCAGGAGCAATTTGATCAGGAACGTGAGGCTGTCTTGCTGTGTTGCTGGGCATATTAAAGTGACAGATGCAGGTCAAGATATCCAGGAAACGATGGATATACTGGTGCAACAAGATCTGGATCCTGATTCGGAAGAGTATGTTCTCATAAAGTACGCACTCCTGAATGGGGGTAATTGTATCAGGTGTGGATTTTAACATTTAGTTCTTTTCGCCAATCTTTTGCTCCGTATCCGAGTTTAAAAAACTCGGACCGAGCTTAAACCTGGTCAATTTGCAAGTCATTTTGCAAGTCATTTTTTCTTTGAAAAGTTTTCTGAAAAGATGCTTGCAATGTGAGAGTAATGTTTTTACCTCTGTTTTATATATTTCATCACCGTAAAGTCTTTTATGACCAGTTGTATGCAAGTGGTGAATGTTTGACTTTATTTCAGATGCAAGGAATGGTGCCGCTTGCCTGTTATCACGCCATGCATGCATTTGTTGTGCCTCGATTGTGTTGCCCTAGACAGTGAGAGGTGTACCTTTCCTGGATGTGGGCATCCATATAAGATGCAGAGTCCTGAAATACTAACCCGTCCAGAAAACCCTAATCCCAAGTGGCTGTTCCTCAAGATCTTATTGAGTTGCAACCATCATATAAACAGGTTTTGAGGCCCTAGCATATATAATAATAAAGTGTTCTATAATCCAAGGAGTGAATCATCGCTCTCCAATAAAATGATGGTATGTGACTAGTAGAGTGTGGGACCTACTAGAGCAGTACTTGACTCCTATGGTGGGTTCCACTCTCTCCATCACCAGTCATCATTTTATAGGAGGGTGAGGCTTGCAATGGAATATGGTTTCATAGGCCCCTGAAATAATAATAGATCTTTGGTTCATTTTATTGTCTGGCTACTGAATGAAGCTTTTTTTCCCCCTCCCTTTCTAATGTATATCAATTTCTTCTGAACATGTGCAGGATAATTGGGATCCAGATTGGCAATCAACATCAAGTAGCAAAGTTGCCTATCTTGTAGAGAGTTTGAAAGCCTTGCAAGAGGCAAATAGACAGTTGGGTTATTGTCTTGATAAAAGGGATGGTCTAGGAGCAACCAGAGAGGTTCCTTTATCTTATCCAAATGATTGTTCAGATGATTTAATACATGATGAAAGCATGAATTTCAATAAAGGACTACCTGAGAAAGTGATCATATTCTCACAGTTTCTTGAGCATATACATGTCATTGAACAGCAGGTAGCTGAACAAAGTGTTTTGGAATTAATTTATGCTCCAGTTTCATGTTTTCGTCTTGCAATACTCAAAAATATTTGTCTTATCATCCTTTGTCTTACAGTTGACAGTTGCTGGAGTCAGATTTGCTGGAATGTATAGTCCAATGCATTCGAGCAACAAGGTTTGTATTATCGCCAGAGCTGTGCATAATTGTAGGATAAAATAATGATAGCGATTGGAGTGAGTGGGGCTCATCATAACAGGTTGGTGGGTCCCACTCTCTCCCACATCATTGTCCATGAGTAGGGTATTGATGACTCAATGTACTATGGATTTTCATTGTCCATTGGGATTGTAGTGGAATTCACCTTTCCAGAGTTCTTGTTCTGGATCCAAAATGTGTTTTCTGGGGCTTACCGTTGCGAATTTTTCTTAGATGAAGTCGCTGATGACTTTTCAACATGATGCAAACTGTATGGTGCTTCTAATGGATGGCAGTGCAGCCTTGGGTCTGGATTTAAGCTTTGTTACTCATGTTTTTTTGATGGAACCTATATGGGACAGAAGGTAATAATAATTCAGTAATGGAATTGTCTGTTACCATAGCTGTAATATTAAATTTAAGTTTCTATTGAGCTCTAGATTAATTGTGCCTGCCTCTTTACAGACCATAAATTGAGGTGGCTGCTAACTCTTTGATTTTCATTGCAAACTTTGTTAATATTACCTGCTTACCAGGTTTTAAAAAAGAGAAAGGGGGCAGGGGATTTGGTTTACCTTATTATAGCATTTTTAAAAAGAAAAAAAAAGAGGAATGGATCATGCATATATCCATAGAATTTCCTTTCACACATTATAACTGGGATTCTTCTTTACAATCCATGATATTACCATAATATCAAATCTTGTTCATGATTTTTTTTTCTTATTAACTTTTATGACGTTCAGTTATATTTGCAACTCCTAAGCGTCTCCTATGCTGAGCCCTTCTTTATTCTTGTATATTATCAGTATGGAGGAACAGGTTATTAGTCGTGCCCACCGCATGGGAGCAACTCGTCCCATTCATGTGGAAACATTGGCCATGTATGGTACCATTGAAGAGCAAATGCTGGAATTCTTACAGGTATACATATACTTTACATTCGTATCTTTGGTAGAGGGTTTAAGTAACATAAATTCATACTCTCCCTTTGCATATATGGTATGATGTTAACAAGAGCAGCCTGTTGGTGGTGCAAAATAACTACATCTTTTCTCATACTGGTCTACTTGGAGGAAATCCCATATAGAACTTGTCTTCTTCTCTGCTACTTTAAAATACTGACTCACATCATTGTCTACAAATATCACGAAACCAGACTGGAACTTGAGTAATTCTAGGGCCAAGATGGTCGGTCGTGTATTGAATTCCTCTTCCTCGATACTTCTTCATGCACTCTAATTAATTGTTGATGTTATGAAATTCCTTATTTGTCTCGGTCTTATTTACCTTCACTATCCTTTCTGGATTTAGTTGGGGTTCCATGTTGAAGTCTTCTATCTCCATTTCTATGTGAAGAGGCTCAATAGTCATCATGTTATTGGCTTTTCTGTCGGTGTTGTCATTCACCATTGAGTTGATGTAGTTTACATTGTTATCCATATTAGTGAGGATCATTGATTAGAAAAACTCAATCTGAGTCAAGTCGACTCACCTGCGAGCTCAACTTGGCTCGTGTATGAGTTCTATTCAGCTGAGTTTGTCTATTGTTAAAATAAACATCCCATAACTAGTACGAAAATCTGTTGTAGATTTTTTGGTATTATTTTTGGTTTCCCCTACAGCATAGAAGCTGTATGCTCCCCCTACCATCCAGTTGTCCAATTTTGATCAAGGGTGCCACTCACCTTTTGATCTTAGATCCGACGTCTCAAAGTTATTTTA